TCCTGGGAGAAAGCCTTTGTGAGCTTATTCTGTTTGCGTTATTCTGAAACCAGAAAAATGAGATGCTGCTATTAGAAGTATCTGTTTTAGGCTGGTCTGTGCTATGAGTAAACGGTGAGGCTCACATTCTCCTGTGCTTTTTCCACGCTACATAGAGCCAACTCTTGCCAGGTACTTATTTGTATGGTGAGTTTCAGTGTCTGTAAACAGTCGGACTTCTCTAGCTGATGTGAGGACTGAAAGATGGTGCCTGAAGCTTTGATTTGGGCACAGAAACCTCATTAATGGGTAATGAAGGGAGGAGGTGGAATGCAAGGAAATCAGCTTTTATGTTTTTGGCAGACTGGAAGGCTGCTGCTTGTTCTCTGGCCTTTCCTGTCTTTCCCCCCACCCTCCAGGATCTCCCCTTGAATTTGCTCTAGACAATTACATGAAATTAAGCTTTATTATGTGAAATTAGACTTTATTAAAACTACTGCCTCAGACAGTGGTGAGATCTCTCCCTTGGGCCCCTATCCTCCACCGCCCCCCCCCCCCCCCCCCCCGATTTTTTCCAGTAGCTGAAGAGGCTGCTGTTGACATCTAAGTGTATTGTTGAGTTGCTTTAAAAACTACTTCAGTGCTGGGTCATGGGAAAGGTTTTCAGTGCAGTATTTTACACTGATGCATCCATAACTCTAGCAGCAGCCATCATCAGAACCACTGCTTTCGCTTCTTCAGTAAATAAATAAGCACTCCTCACAGTCATTTTTCCTGGGCTCTGTGTGCCAGTTCCATGAATTAAAATGCACAAAAAGAATACAGCGTGAGGAGGGGTGGTTGTGTACTTAGCAGTTACCATGGCAATAATTAAGGGCATGCTTACACCAGTGGACCCAGGAGCACTCAGATCTGGGGATGCCGTATCTGTGACCCATCAGGATGAGACTGGGAAGTGTTTCCCCCCCTTTTCTTTTCTCTCTCACCCCAATGCAGTGTGGTTTGTGGAGGGGCAACACCTAGAGACGAGGCCTGCCTGGTTTTCCCTGGGCAGGAAGGATGCTCTATGGTAGACCTCTCAAGCCTCTGGCATGTCTAAAAAAGACAGTTTGAACAAAATCCACAGCTAATGTAAATTGGTATAGCGTCATTAACAGGAACAAAGCATTAGCATTTCATGGTTGTGAAGAACTGTACTACACTATCATGTCATTCATATCATATCATATATTATTTTACTGTTTTCTGCTATTGGTGCCAGCAATGCTGAGAGATGAGGTAAAGCAGAAGAAATGCTCTAGACCAGTTGTTCCCAAAATGTCCTATGATTGTGTACCTGCACTCCTTCACGGACTTGGCTGTGAAGGTGAATATGCTTTAATGGTACAGGCTCTTCTTGATATTTCTGACAAAATATGCAGCCACTCTTCCTATTTTCAATCTGTATGTTTTCTCTTTTTCCCCAAATGGTCTTACATTACTTTCCTGGCTTTCTCTTGACTCTTTGTTGCTGCCAGCCTCTCACACAGCCTCTCAGGTCTCAGTTGCTGCCTCCCTTGCCCTGCCAAGGCACTGCCAGACTTCCCTTGTTCCAACTGGAGGGATCTCAGTTCACCCTGTTCTCATACAAATGGTTCCCAATCTCCTTTTTCACTCATTTTTTTCTCCCTAGCTTTTGCCTAAACTGACTGACTCTCTCGCTCTCCTTCCTCCCTACTTTCTTGCCCTCCTTTACTCTGCTTTTCTCCCTGCCTCTGCAGCCAAATTTCCTTGCCATTTCTCATCCATTATCTTCCCTTCACATCTCTGTCCCGATTTTCCCCTCTTTTCCTTACTCTTCTGTTTCTTTACTGTTGTTCCTGCTTTCACAGTATTACGCCTCTTCCATTTCAGTGTGCAATAAAAAGCATCTCTCTGACAGAAAGCTTTTTTCTTGGTTCATGTCAAGTCCCTACTTCAAAGAGCAGAGATACTGGAGCTTCTCAAAGGAAAAGGATGCCAAGACCTTTTAACTTGGGCAAGGAAAGACATTTTTCTTTGGCTTTATTTTCACAAACACAAGCATTGTTTTAATGAAAATTTAGCATGAGGCTGCATTTTTTAAACAGTTGAAAATGGTTCTGCAAGAGAGAAGTGCCAGACAGCTTTAGTAAGCAGTGCTGCTGCCAGCCTCACCTCTGTTACTTATCATCAGGAAATGCTGTTACCGTCTTCCAAGTCCTTTTTCTCAACATGTTGGCAAATACTTAGGCTTGGAAGATTTAATATGATAATGCAAATTTTGCAAGGCTCCCAGTAGAGTCAGTTACCCAAGGAGAAAGAGCTGGGTGAGCAGTGAACTGCTGCCTGCCTTGGCATCTCAGAAGAGTCAGTTTGGAAATGAGAGCCCCATTTTGGAGTTGGGCATTATTTGGGAAACCCTTGATGTTAGGATTGCACATGTCTATCTATATGTGTATAATCATTCCTTCAGAATTAGTTCTATATACATACATATATATATTCCTATATATGTAAATCAAAGGCACCTCACAAATTACAGAAGCCTGTATCACCATGGTCATCCCATTTTATAGAAGGGTGAGATTGGGATGCTGACACACAGAAGACAGCTGTCAATACTGCACAAAATTTGCAACTACTGAAATAGATATCTGGATGTTTAATGAGGCAATTAAGCTCCACCAACCTTATATTGTCCAGGGTCTGTCTGTCACATTGTACTTTTGCCTAGATACTAAAAGGAAGGTGTGATCCCCAGTGAGTTAATAAAAATAATTATTTCATGCTGGGAAAAAAAAAATGAAAGAAAAAATGAGCTGCAGAAAATTTGCCTGTGACATTTAAACTAACTAACTCTGAGTTTGTCTGAGCAACTTATCTTTGAGTATTTGCAGGAGAGAAAGCAGAATATGAATGAAAGCATCTCAATTGTGTTTGAGTTGCCTGATAGATGAAGAGAATTTCTGGTGACTCCATCTGGCTGGAAGGTCTATCTGTGTGATCTCTTCTCTGGCAGATGGAATATAACACTAGGAGGAGTCCTTTGATTATCAAAGCATGGGAATGACTCCAGTGCAGTATCACCCTGAGACACCCCTTTCTTTCAGAGTGACAGGTGATGTTTCTGGGATGTTAGAGAAAGCTGATTTCCCCCTGCTGCACTGAACATGTGTACACCAGATTTTCTTTTGGCAATATTAAACCTGTCCACCTTGCCTGTCTGTTGCTGGTGGGGAAAGAAATGAAAATAAAGAGTATGCATATAGAGAACATACTGAGTACAAAGGGACTGAACGAAGAGAATATGTTGATTATTTCATTAATATATATCAGTATTTTTTTTTTTACAAAAGTGTTTGGGTTTAGATTCTTGTAGTTTCTATTAAATACTTTTTAAAACACATAAAAGATGATTAGGCTGACATTTCCTTAACATAGAGGTTCTTTCTCAAATAGCGTAATATTTTTCTCCCCACTATTGTTAGCTTTCTCTTTTCAGTCATATCTGCAGCATCCCATTGAGCATTTTCACACGTCTGTCAAGATTTCTCCTTGCAACACGCAGTGTTGCAAGTGCACCTACCAGCAGTCTCACATCCAAACCTTTCTTTAATTTCAGGGAATAACATTCAGCTTAGTCTTCTGAGTTTGAGCAAGTAACAAAGGGAGCCAACATCAGCCTTCACTTAATTGCAGGCCACTTCAGTGTCAGAAAAGAGCTGTGGGTGTCAGTAACTGCTTGGCAGGGGAATGTGAAAAGACTACAGCCATGAGGGCCGTGATTCAGCAGGGTTTCCTCTGATGTCTGGGGAAATGTGTGCTGGGGAAGACAGCCTCAACCCTTTTCTGCCCACATTGGCCTCAGTTACTACTCCCCTTGCTCTGGAGGAGGTTTGGAGAAAGTTGTTTCGTACAGCCAGACCGTGCCTTTTCCAGCTTACCCATGCTCATCATTGCAGTTTGGGGTAGAGAATTAGTGGTCTGAGCCACGCATCAATCCAAATTAATAGAGATGTATATAGGTCATCTTTGGGGATAGGGATGCTTATGGAGAATTCCTCGCTGTCCACCCACATGTCTCTTGATGGATGACCTTCCCCCTTTCACCACCTACCTATTATAGCCTTATCTGTGACATTAGTTTACATTTCTATAGGCAGTCAGAGCTTCCTTTCTCAGAAACCTAGGGTGGCTTATGTGTTAGGGACAGACAGGTTTGGGGGGAATTTTCTTAAATGAGAGGAAGAATTACTCTCTGTGAAGCTTCCCTGCACAATTCATGGGTACATTCTGATATCCACCCACTTTGTTTCACCTCTTGGGTCATCCTGCTTTTCAACGTGAGATCCTTAATCATAGCTCATGGCATTATCTCCAGGAAATGCCATTACAGTAGTCTTGCTGTTGGACTTTCTTTCACTGTGTCTCACTACTGACCAGCACCAGACAATACAGACCTGACTGTAAACACCTGAGGTTACAAAGAAGCGAGGGCATCAGCTGGTTATTCTACAAACTTTAATTGAAATAAAAATGTTTGCTACTTTTTAACTTTTTTTTTCTTTGCTTGTTCTGTGGCATTATTTATAAAGCCTTTCCTTTTAACTTCCTTAAGCTTAGACGTACATGCATGTAATTGGCGTTGGTGATTAATACATTTAGTGGAGTTTCTGTCTTGAATGCGTTTGCTTTGGCACTCATCCTGATTTTTTCTCTTTGCTATTCATGTTGGCCCCCTGAGACACTTTCTAATTCTTTTTTTTTTTTTTTTGGCATAACATTCATTTTGATTTCATAGCTGATAGCATTATTATTTTATCAAATAATATGATAAATTGTTACAGCTATCCTGCAGTAGCAGCCAAAGCAATGATGCTTTCTAATGGCGCACTTTACCTCTGCTGTATTATCACCGCCCATTTCATTATTGGCACGTTGATTACAGCTGTGTTTCTCAGGGGCTATGAAATATTCAGCAGTGTAGAGTAGCCTGGGGAGCATTGCAGTCCTTGTAGCCAGACACCTGCCCTCAGAGGCAAAGGACCAAAAACTTTGTACATTTAAAACCGATGTGAAAATTCCTGCTTGCTTTAGCTTTCCCTACAGCACTGGCTAGAGATGCATGCTAATTAAAAATTGCCACTTTGCTTATCTTGTGATTGGATGGGGTAAGAATTGCAATAAATACACAGTTAATGCATTTCTGCCACATTTACCTGGCAAAGAAGGAAAGAAATGTTGGTAACGTTGATGCCTGTGTCATTGTGAGGCAGTTGACATTTTGGGTGGAGTTGGAGAAAAAAATCTGTGTTAAGGGCAAAAATTAATGCTGCAGGTCATTTTCTCACACTTTGTCTCTCTGCAGGACTAGGCACCAATGATTGACTGAAATGTGCAATATTTTACCAAGTAGGAAGCAGATAAGATTTTTATAAACAGGATACTTCATCATTAAAGCAAAGAAACAATTGCTTTGACCTTGACACTGAGTGAGTAAGGCCAGCATTGTGATAATTGAGAATGTAACCAAGCAACAGTTCTGTAGTAGCTTGCACTGCATTATTTTTAGTAGACTATACCAGCAATGGGGAGGCCTGAACTAGCAAAACAGCTGGTTAATGCTTGCAAAAAAAATAATTTCTTTGTGCAAAGGGTTTGAGTTGTAATATGTGCTTACACTAATTATAATGTGGGCTTACGTCAAAAGAAAGTAATTGAATCAGCATATCCTTCTGTGGTCTGAGCAGGCAGATAGCCTGACAGGATCCCTGATTTCTTAAGCTGCTTTAGAAACATGAATCTCTTCTGAAAATTAGTGGCATAGAAGAAATGGCATATTCCTTCAGAACTAGCCTATTTTAAATCTATTTCCACTTACTTTGGCAGTAATTAGAATTCCTAATCCTACTGGTTAGCACTGTACAGCCTTATTTATTTGCGAAGTTGGACCATAGCTTTAGCTAATTTAGTTTGGAAAGTCATAACTCATTTGAAGAAGCCAACTGGAGAAGATGTGCTCCAACTGTGGTTTAAACTAGTCTTTCAATAATACAGCAAACCAGTTCCCTACAAAGTTAAAGGTGTAAGACCCCTTACATTTGGAATAAGCATCCAGGGAAAAGAAGGTATTTTCTTCTCTCAATTGACAAACCAAGCTAGTTTTTTTTTTGTTTGTTTGTTTGTTTGTTTTTCAGAAACCTCTCTAAGGGTCACTGCTTGGGTATAAACTACCATAACTTTATGTATATGAACCTTTCATTCTGATCTGGTCCATGAAATCCATACTATTGGAAACAATATATAGATGAGAGAATAAAAATTTCAAAATTCTCAGCCTAAATTCTTCATAAGATCTTTGAAAGTCAGAAGATTCTAAACAAACAAAAATAATGAGTTTAAAAACTATATTAGTTATACTGGGGCATTTTAAGTACAGGAAGGAAAACTCTTTCTAAAAGTATCTTTCTCTGAATATGATTTTAAATTTGAAGAAACAGAAGGTAATGTATATTCTCTGTTATTCTCTCATAGTGTGGCATAATTGTTCAGAGCTGTGAAATTTTCTTTCCTTTTTTGTCTAGGAGGAAACGTTTGTCAATACCATATATCACTGAATCATCAAGCCCTACAGAAGACACCAAGGTAATTATTTATGTGTCTGCTTTTTGTTTCCTGTGGTGGTCAGCTTGGCTTTAGTTCAACTTTATGAAGACACCTGCAATTTATGAGCGTGCTGGTGCTAAGCAATCACACTGGGTAGCAGTGATACTACAAATAGCTTTTACGGAAGCTGTTGCTTACAGCTTCACGACCCATAATTTGCTGGGTAATATGTAAGTGTGTGTGTGTAAAATAAAGACATAATATATTCTGAAAATGCAGTTCTTTCCATGTCTTAAGAAGCAGTACTTCCAGCCCCAGCTGCAAAAGGTGAAATCAGCTGGATATGTTTATTTTCATGCTTATTTAGAAAGCTTTTCCTTACCTCATTATCTGCCTCTGGTGCTGGGAGGTTTGCTTGGTAGGTCTGTTTTGATTAAGGAAACCAACAGGTGCCTATCAGAAATTGTCATCTTTGCTCTCTTTGCCAAGTTCTTAAAAGCTGTTTCTGCTGCTGTTTGCTGTAGATGCTACAGATCTATATATTGCTTTTGCTTGTTTCAAAGCCTGTTCTGAAAGCATAGCTAATGAAGTCTCCATGTATATGGACAGAAAACAAATAACAAAATAGACAGCTGGGAGTTCGTATTTCACAGTTAAGTTACAAAGCAGGATGTCAGAAGGTACAGAGAATAATACAGTAGTTAAGAAGTTAGTCTGAGCATGCAATCTGCCGTTTGTACCTGGTACCACTGCATGGAGACCAGTGAGATCAAGTCTTCAGTATATAGGGTGCTGTTTTCATTCATTTCTGGAGCTCTGATGAGATTTGAACAAAATCAATTTTATACCATATTGCCATTTAAATAATTAAGATCTCCCAACATCTAGCAGATGTTGATTTTTCAAAAACTGCAGTTTTTGAAAAAGTATCCCAAACTTTGTTGTGTGGCTGTTTCTAGTAAGTGATAATGTGGCACTGGACCAAAAAATGAATCTAGTGGCGGTAGGGCTAAACCTATGCTTCTGGTTATTCAAAATAGCAAGTTAACAAATAGATCTTGAGAGAAAGAGCTGTTTTCCAAAGCTTTGGCAGTCATTTGCACTTTCACATTTTTTTTTTTTTGTTGTTTGTTTGTTTGTTTTGGTTTGGTTTGGTTTTATTTTTAACCAAACTGAGTTCAGGAAAAGAAGAAACTTTTTATTTTGGGAGGAGAAGGACAGACAGCTGCTTAGTGACCTGCAGGCTTATCACTAGACTGGGAGCTACCTTCTTTACATAGAATCAGGTTTTCTTGTTCATGGTGTATTGTTGTTGTTTTTAAGCTAGTGAATCCTAGTGTTGGCTATTTTGACTTTATTAGCCAGAGTGAGTATTTGTAGTTTGAGAGATTTTTCTCAAGGTCTTATCAGCACTGAATATGGTGTTCAGTTCTTTCTGAATATAAGGTGTTAACTTGTGCAGTTCATTTTGTTGTATGCAATGCACTCACTTTGTGGCTCAGTTGATAAATACTGTGAACTCTCCAAGTCCCTTTCTTAGCACAAAGATAGCCTTGAAACTTTCCAGGGAATCAATGCTATTTTAGGGCATACCAACCTGGTATTCCTCACTTCCAGCATGTTGATAAGACCACAAGTGAAAAACTTTCAAGGTGACCACATCATGCTGACTGACCTTGTGCATGTTCCTAGCTTCTCCTAAAGGAAAGTTCATTAGCTGAGAGAAGCTTAATGGTTTAACTGATTTTGAGAAGCAAAAGCTGAGAGCACACCTGTGGTAGCATACTGGGTTACACAACTTGTTTGACTTTCTATCTCCTAAGCTACAGTGAATGAGTTTGTGTGAATATACTCTAAGCCCCTCTCTGAGTCTCTTTTTATTATCCACACATAGTGCAGACATGCTTCAGTCCCAGATCTTGTGCCCATGTGAAATACATAAATATAATTGGTGTATAATTGATGGAAATATTGCTTCTTGGTAGTAATTGCCTTTAAAATGAACACAGAAATCAACAAACCTGGCCAGACACCTTAAAGGTAAAATCCATATAAAATCAATTTAATATTACCCATGCTTCTAATACCTTGTGGAAGCCAGAGCATTGTGATAGTTGTCTTTAATCTGTCAGAGATGAAGTGTTTTAGTTCCAAACTCCTGTTCTCTGTGAATGATACTCAGATCTGGAAATGAAACACCTCTGCAAGGTGAGGGGTCTTTCTCTTTCCTGTTGAATCACTCATCATTTTGGAAATTCTGTTTGCAATAAGAAAGCGCCGATGACTCTGCTACGTTTCTAAAGGACCTGGATATGCTGAGCTCTTGCACAGGAAATCAGGAATTGTGAGCAGGTTATCATGCTGTGTAATACTCCCATCAGCATTAGACAGCCGGACTACATCATCTGAATACAGCTGTAGGTCTAGCGGTTTTTCCTGCTGGGTCAAAAAAATTGAGAATCTTGGAGCTGAAAAAAAAAAAAATGTTTTGGTGGGGCTTCTGGGTCTTTTAAAAATCTGGATTTACTTCTCTGCTCCCATTTGTAGTACAACCCAGAAGCAGCTGTTTTGCCTTGAGTGAGGCTGAGTGGTAAAGACAGGATCCTTTCAGCCAGTTTTATTGCTGGAGAAATAGCATCAAACTGCACCCTGGCAGTGTGGGATTTTTGGCTGTGTTAAAAACAACGAACCAGCTCTGGGTCAACTGGCTAGTGTAGTTCAGAGAGTGGCTGAAGAAAGTGTGTTCAGACTGAGGTCAGGAAGGCAAGTGTGGCTAGCAATTAGGGAGGTGGTTAGACTGAGGACCTCTTTCAACCAGTTACGCTGCTGAGGGTTTCTCAGTGTGAAAGCACACCCCAGGATGCTGCAATGCCTACACAGAAGGGTCTGGTTATTTCACTGAGGGGTTCCTCCCCTTGGGTGGGTATGGCTCTACCATGCTGAGGTGGAGAGGCTGCGGCCAGTGTCACTTCTAGGAAGCATAACTGATCATTTAAAATAGCATTAAAGTATTTTTTGACAATATGCGTCATACCATGTTTTTTTGCCTACATATATAATAAAATATCAGAGCTTCAAACTTGCTGCTCATTCTGTATTTGATAGTCTAATTATGCCATCTTCTGAACATGACTTCCAAACAGAAGGGAAGAGAAGGTGGGCATCTGGCAGCAGTTTTCACATACTACATATTGTACACAAGAGGACTTCTGCAAAACTGGGCCTCGTCTTTAATTCAGATTTTCCTTGATGTTATCAAAATCTCCTGCCTCTAGACTAGGAGATCCCTTGCAGGATCTTGACAGTCTTCTGGGTACTCGCTGGGCTGCCCTTTGAACTCAGCTCACAATACTGCTTCATTTGCTGACCTAGAAAGCAAGTTTTCTTATTATTTCTGGAAAAATGCTCAGAACTTTAATTGAAAATCTGTGTTCTTATTTGTAAGAAGATGCATTTAATTTTATTTTTTTTTTTCTTCAAGCATAGCTAAATGTAAATAATTGCACAAATTGTAGGTTTTATACTATCAGAGGAAATGTATTATTTTTTTCTTCAAGAAATGCCTAAACAAATTTCACAGTTCAGGTGACAGCTTCCTTCTTAGCTGTGTCCTGCAGCTTAAAACCCTTCCTTGTTTTGGTGTCCTTCTCCCATACCCCCATACCACACGTTGGTGTAATTTCATGCTATGTGACAGACGTGTTGGTGGCATGGGGTATACGTCACTGCCTGCTTCTGCTCTGCTGAAGTGTGCTTGCTTTGCATAGCCCCATTATTCTTCATTGTGATCAGCGGTGACCGGAGTGATAAAATCTGCTCTATGGCCCTCACAAGTCTGGGATAGTTTTGGTGCAACCGTCACCAAAATTACGCTGCTTTCTGCCAGCGGGGCAGGGGCTGCCCCATACATAAGGCAGTTCGAGTCAAGCGTGCCTTGGTTGAGTGTCCTACACCACGTGGTCCTGTCAGCCAGGGGTTGGTGGAAATACAGAATCACAGAATCATGGAAAAGACCCTCAAGATCATCAAGTCCAACCACCAACTTGACCTATCAAGTCCCATCACTAAAACATGTCCCTCAGCACCATGCCTGCACATACAGAATCACAGGATCATGTGGAGGGGGTGCAGGAGGCGAAGGCCTGCTTTGGGGCGTGCGGTGGCAGTGGACAGGTTTCACCGCGGTATGCCACATTCCTGTGTCTCTGCACTGGGTTTTCAGGTCCAGCCTTGACGTGATGAGTGCAGGAGGTGTGTGTCTGAAGGACAGGGTGCTGGCTGGTTGCAGGTCAGAGAGGGCTTGCTAACATGGCGTTGTTCATCAGGACAGGGGAAGCACCATCAGGATCCCAGCTCTGCCCATCATTAGAGAGGCAGGACACACAGGTCCCCCAGAGCCCTTTCAGTGCACAGGATGTGCTGGTTTGGTGCTCAGAATTTGGAGCCTTCCTGTGCCTGAAGTAATTTGGGAATAATTGCTCAGCTCTCAGTTCTCTTCCTGCTTACTTCCCTAATAACGTTTAAACACAAACATTCCACCAACACTACCAGTGGTTTGGGGTTTGCATTTATTCAACATCAATAAAAATACACTCGAGCTTCATCCTGATCCTTCTCCTTTTTCCTGGATTTTTCTTTTTCTGGAAAGCCACCTCTCCATGTCTTTACCATTTCACTTTCTTCTATTTGGTAAAAGAAATATCTTGTATGTATGCTGATGGGCTCTTCTATGCTGTCCTTCAGTGTGAGCCTCAGAACACCTCAGCTGTAGCTTCTGCATGTCTGTAGGTTTCTTTCCCCAAGATATCAGGTTTTCCCTCTGCTTTCTTTAGATTGCACTTCCAGATGGCCAGCTCTCCTGCAGCACTAACCACCCCCAGGCCAGGGCGCTCAGCTGCAGCTCCTCAACCTGAAAAGGTCATAAATACATGAAGTTTGTGCTTTTCATTATGTGAATGTAGCAGGAGGAGCTGCTTTGTCAGCATGCTCCCAGGGGGAGGATCTGCATTGAGAGGTCTGCACAGTGGTGGAGGGGAAAA